CCCGCCGCCCCGTGAGGGGAGCGCGGGCGCCATGAAGTGCGTGATCGCGGGGGCTCATCTGAGAGGTACCCGCGCTGCCCCGGGCACCCCCGAACCGGCACCCCCGAACCGGCACCCCCAGCGGGGCCTCCCCGGGGCGCTCGGGGGCCGCAGCTCGGGGGGTGCAGCTCGGGGGCCGCGGCCGGGCCCGCCGCGGAGCTGAGGAGCTGCCTCTGCCTCGTCCCCAGAAGAACTAAAGGCATTTTTGTGGGGCCACATGAAGCCTCTGAGTGTTGTCCAGCGAGCGGAGGGCTGTGTGCGTGGTACTTCAAGGGGAGAAGCACTTGGGTGCCTCCCTGGCCGTGCTGTCCTCCTTCCAGAGGCCCAAATAAATCAGCCAAACGCTGCTCTGGCAGTGCCAGAGGCTCATTTTGAATCCCACTGCTCGTTTCTGTGTTTCTTAGGGCTCTGTCTTTACGGATGCCCAGCTGCTTATTGCTGGCTTAGACTTGTTGCCATCTATGAAAGCTAATTTATGACTCCAGGGGTATTTTGTCCAATTAGATTCAATCTGTGGTGAGATCAGTTCATACCAACTGCTGCAAAGGGACAGGTGACATGTGAGGTGTGTCTCATTGGAGGCAGCTTCTGAAAACATCAGGGCTTGTGCTACTAGAAAGGAGAGTAATGTTTTCCACCGTGTCGTCAGTTCCCTTTGAAATGTGGAGGAAATTTGCTATTTTTCCTCTTAAATTATTCTGGAGAAAATGTATGACCTGATGTTTAACTCAAAACACACATTGCACTGTTTTCTTTCCCTGCCAGTGTTTGGAAGAGCAATACATGCCATGGCACGGATTAGTGATGAGTTTTGGTTTGACCCCATAGAAAAAGGTGTAAGTGAATTTGATTTACTGTCATTTTTAAATCTCTACTGGAAGCCTCATATTTACAGTGTTGAATATTGTGTTGTTTTCCACAGGTACCCTCAGTCTGAGATAGGTTTTCTCTCAGCTTCCTCCACTTCCAGGAGGGACAGTTGCCATATTTTCTCTAATTGTAATTACAAGATTCATGCTTCTCACGTTCTTCCGTTTTTTCTTACCCAACTGAAGTTTGTCCAGGACATCTGGATTAATATCAGGGGTTTTATTTCTGTTGTTATGGGTTAAAAGGCTTATGTTTTGTACCCCAGGAGAAGCTGCCTCTAAAGAGGGTGTTTTTGTACTGGTGTGACTCAACAGGAAGAAAACATCCATTAACATGCCTCCTGTTAATCAAACACCATTTCCAGCAGAATTAGGGTTTTCTCTAGAGGTTTCTTAGTTGAAAGTGATCAACTCACCTTAATTTGCTGAGAGGCTGGAAAATGAGAAGTGGAGATAATTTCTTCTTATGCCTGAAGAACTTCTGAGGTGCTGGGAATGCCTTTGCTCATTTGTACATATCCTGTGGATGGGTGTACAAAAAGTTTGGTTTAGGATAAACTCCAGTCCTTCAAATGCCTGAAACACAAGCTGAGCTGTAAGTGTTGAGGTAACTCACACTTCAGGGCCACTTAAATTCCCCTAATTTTGATTCCTGTGCCTCTATCAGTGACTTCTGACCAGTAACAATGAAGGTGAGAATTTTAACCATGACTAAATGCATGATGCACCTGTCTTTATTTTGAGATGCAGCCATGCAAAGGATCCATGGCTTAGGAATAGTGACAGGTTTGATATGAAACACCTTTGAGCTGATAAATTATTTTGCTTGTACTTTCAGCTTGCCTTAAGATCAGTGAATTCTTCAAGGTCAGCATATGCATGTATCTTCTTCTCATCTATGTTTTTCCAACACTACTGCTGGACAGCTGTCTCTCAGCCATGTCAGAAGGAAAAACAGTTATCCCTCCCATGTAAATTGATAATTAAGGTATATTTTAGTGGATTACTATGCACGGCTTTGTAAGCAGCCAGTTAGCCCAGATTCCAAATGGAATTACAGGGGGAGGCTCACAGAGGCAGGTAGATGGCTCTAAACCAAAGTGTTTCTGAGCAATTCTGCACGAGAGGGTGTTGGTCTTTCATGGTGGTCAGGAGTTGTACCTCCTGATCTGTGCCCTGCAGTTCCCAAAGCCTGAACCAGCTGGATCTTGGCCTGAAGGAATACCCCATGGAGCCTTGGGAGTGTTCCTCCCAGAGCCTTCAAAACCACCATGAGGCAGGAGAGCTTTGACCAGATGTTTTGCAATCAGAGCTGTTGGCCTCTTGGGTGAGGATTCGTGTCTGCTGCCTCAGTGTCTGCTTACAGAGCTGTTGGGGAAGCCATCAAAGCCGGAGCTTGAGACAAAACTTGGGAAAGAACATTGCAGAGTTGCTTGGTGAGTAACCTCTGCACTTCTTTTGTTTTACAGTCAGTTCTTCCTGTGTTCAGATGTGCAAATGTGCTGGAAAGGAACGTAGAGAAATGCAGCATTTATACCAATATCACTGATCATCACCTAACTTTTCAGCTTCTCTGCAGGCACGGTAGGTTACACACACAAAGAAGCAGTTTAAAAACAGCAGGACAATATAATGTTTAGTACAGTTACTAACTGAATATTATTGATGGAACATGATGCCAAACACTTTCAGCCTTTTCACATCATAATTTGGATTTATCACGTGCATCACCTGGTTAAATTGGAGCTGTAACAGCCTTTATCAGACAAATGTTCTTCCCTTCAGTAGTTGCACGTGCTAAATGTTGTCAGCCTTATTTCTTGTGGGTTCTTCAAAACCCAGAAGCTGGAGGGTGTGACTGATAGGATGAAGGAATCCTTCACTGGTGTGTTAATCCAGTTTACTACTTGTGGGTGAGTTAATTGCATGTAGTTAGAGGGAGTCACTTGGTTCCTTCCTCTGGTGAGATTTCCTAAAAGAACAAACAATACTGAAAAAAAATAATTGACAATCACAAACCAGCATTGATTTTTGTTCATTTTTTTATCCTTAGGTGTTGTAAAAACATATAATCTGACCTTTCAGGAGTGTGATCCCTTGCAGGCTGTTTTTGCAAAGCACATGTGTCCAAACATCCTTAAAGTTCACTCCAGGTAATGAATACAGAAGGTATTTTTTCTGAAGGGGGATTAGAGGGGGAAACACACCACAAAACAAAACAAAAAGCCCAAAAAACAGCAACCAGAAAAGCTCCCACAAAAACACAGGAGGCAGTACTGCTGTCATAGTCATTAACATAATAAAGATCAGATCAGGGCACAGTCCAAAATGTTGAATTCCTAAATCCTGTTTCCTAGTGCTTGGTTTCTCACATTACAATTTCAGAAACTTGTCTCACTCCCACTAACCCGGCCCTGAGAAGTGTGTCATGTCTGATTCAAACTCACAGCTTTCAGCAACATCCACCTGTGACAAATAAAGCAGTGCTTTAATGTCATAGGCAATTAATCCAGTGGTAAAAGTACATATTTTTTTAATGCAATAAGGCCAAGATCTGCTTTGGATGCAGCCCCTGGAACCATCTAAGGTTGGGCTTGTCCTGTCAGCAGAGGCAGAGGCCAGTTAGACCCTGCTTTCCCTGCCAGCATGGCTACTAGATGTGTTCCTTGTGTGCAGGAGCTCTTGTAATGGTGAATGAAATCTTGCAGGCTGCTGGCTGACATCATGATTCACTTCCCCACCAGTCAAGAAGAAATAACCTTGTCAGTTACTCCAGTGAAAGTTTGTTTCAAGAGTTACACCGAGGAAGACACTGGTAAGGAAATTCCAGACATGAAACAATATTGGGACTTTAAAACAAGTGAACTGCAGGAATAATAACTGTTGCAACAAAGAGAGAATACATTTTATGGCTGGGTGAGATTTTTATGAGAAGGAGCATCTACAGAGAGCTTTGAAGTCATACTGCCACCCTCTGGATTTAATACATTTTAAGGAAGTATGTTTTTAATAACATTTCTCTGGAACCAGTGGCAGGTATGAGACTGAGCAGCCAATTGAAACAAATTGTGCCACTTGCTCTAGGCTTGAACAGAGGTGGTGACTGTGCTGCAGGAGCAAGGCAACAGGCAGGAAAAAGGGGATCATTTTAGGTTTGAAAAAGAACTATTTAAATCTGAATACCATCATTATGGAATTTATAGCATTATGAACTGTATGCAAGTGTAAGGGCCATGCAGTGTGCTCAGAGGGCTACTGCTGCTGTGCTGCCATTGCCTGACCTGTATCTGGGGTGGAGAACAATCTAGATTCTTGGGGTGTGACTCCAGTAAATGCTGCAGATTTAATTGTGGTTTTGAAGTGCAGGTTCCTGTCTATCACAGAATAAAGGGCTGTTTTCATACATGGTTTTGGCCAAAGCTGAGGATAATGAGGCAGAAGAAGACGACTGCCTGGGGCAAAGGGTGGGGCTTGTGCTTAGAAGAGGCTTAAGCAGTGGAGAGGGGGGAAGGATCAAGTGGTGGAAACTGGAGAGAAACATAGAAGAAATTGCTGAAAAGACGAGTACATTTTGAGTGACACATTTGCTAGTTTAGAAACATACACAGGTTATTGTCAGAAAAAAAAGAGTGTATAAAACTGTAATGAGGTACCAAAGAAAGAAACAGTCTAGGAAAACAGGAGGAATGATGAGCACTGTTCTTGTTGTGTAGCACGTGATGCCACACAGAGCCTGCAGCCAGTGTTCTGTGGGCACTGGCACACAACCTGGCCTTTGCACAGAGCAGCTGCTGGTGGTCTTGGCTTCTTCCACACTCGTGTTTCATTTTCCAAGCAAGAAACTGCACCTTCTGCCTCGACCTGTTTTCATTTGCACGTGGTAGGCTCTGCCTTGCAGCAGCTCTGCCAGAGTGTCTGTTTCTACAGTTTTAGGGGAAAAAAAAACCCAACCCTTTTGAGCAGAGCAACAGAAGACTGGGAACAGTCTGTAATGCTTTTGTTAGCAGCCTGGTGCTGGAAGAGAGTGGGATAGGTGTGTACTGCTTCATTTCTGTGAGTGCCTCAGAGTATGTAACACATCCTGGAAATTCCCTCTTGCTTTCTTGCCACACACCTCCCAACAACTAGGACTGATTAATGGGAACAAGGAACAATTGAATACCTGAAACTAAAGAGCCTTTTTCCTCTTGCCACTTGCGTATCAGGAAGAGATTATAATTTAAAACAAAGGGCCTGAGCCCACCTTCATTGTTCCCTGGTGATTGTCAGC